CCCCAAAACCCCAAAACCCCAAAACCCCTTTAATTTTAACTAATATTGAAAAATAATATCTAAACTCCTTTCTCTTTAAATTTATTCCTCTCTATTATCTTCTTCAACCACTTTTCTTGCTCTCTCAGCCTAACCTTCCTATGTCTTTCCAGTACCTTCCTATCCCACTCTTCATATTCCTTCCTCTTCATCTTCACTATCCTCTCATATTTACCCTCCTTCGATCCTGTCTCCCTACTAAATTTCCAATTTCCAAAAACCCGATCTGCAAAAACCCACTCCTATCTCCTTAGCCGTAATAGTCAATAACCCCAATTATCGCACCCAGTCCTTATCAAAAGCCTACCTATTCATGCATCCTAGTCTATCAACCCTTCCTTTAGCCTTCTCAAGACAAATTTTTTGTCCATCTTTGACATTTATACAGTTCAATACTTTTTGAACCGAATTTATAGACCTGTCCTGGTCCTTCAAAGCTGATTCCAGAATATGAGGAGGACTAATAGGGTTATAAATCTCTTCAGAAGAGATAGAACTGATAGTCCGCTCTCTGTCTTTGGCATAATCCCTCTCTAAAAAGGACTTCAAAGGATTTGTATTTTGATAAGGCTTAAACACAGAGGAGTTCTTCCGAGGAAAGATCTTTTGCTCACTTTGGATTGATAGATCTATCCTAAATTTAAGGTTTCAATTGGGACTAACTTTTTCTTGCTATCTGAGTTATTTCTCTTCTTAAAGAGATTTACAAGAGGAATAGGGATTTTAGTAACTTTGTTCTTAATCACAATCCCTGGAGTTTTTCCAACCTTAGTCTTGCCAAATCTAATCTGGCTAATCTTCTCCTTAAAATATGATATCCTCTCTTCTGTTTTAAACTTATTCGATAGATTAGCATTATTGCGTCCCTCATAAACTTGGAGTGGCAAGTAAGATCCCTTCTTAGAATTAAGAGTTGTTGAAGTAATCTCTTTATTTCTTCTTGTACTTGGCAACTCAGGCATTTTAATGCCTAAATCTCGCTTATTTGTGGCATCTTTTGATGCAGTCAAGAACATGCTTCATCCTTCTTTCGATCTAGAGATTACTATTATTCCTACAGTCTATCCTCAACTGTCAATGTAGATGCATTATGAATAGCTCGGAACTCAGCTGATTTTGTATTCAGAACTCTAAAAATATACATAAAAATTACTCATAGGCTTTTCTCTTAAAAGAAGTTTCAAATCCTCCCTCCCGTTTACTCCTGCTTTTGCCTCTACAAAGCTTCAGGTTGGAGAATCTACCAATCTGGATATCTCTTTTGTTCTTATCTCCCAACCCATTCTTAGACTTATTATTTTTATTTCCTCCTTTAGTGAATCAGGGCATGATGAATTTCTCTCTAAAATAAGTCAGAACTATCAGGAAACAAAAGGTTGAGGTAAAAGAGTTCAATAAAATCCATGAAATTGCACCACCTAGAAAGATCATACTCTTTATTTCTTTGGATAGTCTCAGAGTCCATTGGCATTCTTACTTTATTTCAAAGTTTTATGAAGGCTTCTTTCTAGACTTCATCGTGCTTGGCCGAACTATGTGAAGGTTATAATAATTCATAATAATTATACAGGGAGATATTTTAGCGAAATAAATTTTATGAGACCAAAGTGTGATCTCACAACTTATAATTTCCCAAAATTAATGACCCTCGGTTGTAATTTACTCTATTTTTAATGATAGGGGAACCATCCTTCTTGCACTGTACATTGCCTTCGCCATCGATTATGTGATAATATCTATCAGCCAGGGGGTCGTGCCACAGTTGAGAATTAAGTTTGTCACTCATTCCTCTTTCAAATAATATATATTGTAATGGGGTTTTGGGGTTTTGGGGTTTTGGGG